CAACAGAGGTGGTGGCAGCTATGCCAGCAGTAGCATCGGCAGTGCTTGTGGTGTTGCTGGTGATGACTATCGTATCTCGGAAAAGCCGTGTTTACCACATATGCGAACACTTTCGACCTCGTCTTTGGAGCGGGGGGAGAGACAGGGATCAAATACGGTAATGGTAATCACTGACCGGGCCCCATCTCCTACTTCAAAGTACACCTTGAAAGCACATCGTTTCGTTTGCATAGCTCAGCCATCAACGTTACTCGGCCTCGGAAAATAGTTCCACTCGCTGGTCACGCTTTGACAAAACTGAACGAATGGGCTCCTAATCAGCATTTTCGCACAATGTGGCTAAGAGCTTGCAGGATTCACTTGCCGTTGTGTTTTTATGGCTAAATAATGATGTTTGCCCATGAATCCACCGTTGTAGAAACAGTTCTTGCTTTCTAATGTAGCGTTTCATTGACTGGAATATTTTTAATAATAGCTCGTAGCTTTTTAACTATTCAAGTGACTTTTTTTTTTTAGCCAGGTTGAATACTGAAATCGAAAAACGCAAAGCTTATGCGCGTTCTCGTTCAACAAATTAGTGACAAGCCAAAACGTTAGTGATCATTGAATACAGTGGATGATGTGTTTTGCACAACAAACGTTCGGTTCCATGATCGAAGTTGCAGACAGACGCGCCCTGAACTGCTTCTAATCTGTTTGAGCACGGACAGAGAAAATGTTGGAGCCTCACAAACGATAACTTTTTTATCAACCAGTCTGTGTACTATTAAAGCTTTTGCAGAACCGCTGGTAGACACGAATACCGCAAAAGGCTTCCGTAAATTTGCCTCCGTTTCAAAAAATGACGACAGTGTTCTACTCAACGAGAAATTTTGTTTGCATTTTTGCACTATCTCTTCTTTTTCACCTACGGCAGACAATGCCTTGACAGACTCATTTCATCTCCTCGTTTGCTGAAGGGAAAAGCCTTACGACAGGGGTCTGTAATCAAATTTGTTTCTATCGATTCCCGTTATCTTATCTTTTGGGTCCCTAAAAATCCAATTCTTATAATATACCCGTCACGTCTTGGAGCTAGCTCTCAATCTGTCCGCCCTTGTACGACATAAAAGACTTACTCGTACCGCTTTTATTTGTTAACACCTTGGTTAGTGTCCTCCGGAAAAAAGCAGGTATGCGGAGTTGTACCCTACGCCTATATCTGTGCCACGTTCAGCCGCCTGACTTAAACGACCCTTCGCGTCCTTCGAAACAACTAAGGCTTTCCTTGAAAAGTGAAAAAAAAACATCGTTTTTTTTGCTGCAAGTACACCTTTTAAGATGTAAACCTAATGTCCGAAACATGTAATACCGCAGCATATCAGTCACTTAATAAAAATCTAATTATGCATCGAGCTAGAGAATACCAACTGTTAAAGCTTTAGGCTAAAGATTAAATCTAATTAATTTAAAATTTAGACTTTATATTACATGGTGATAAAAAGCGGTACGATAGAACATGGGAAATAAGGTAAAAGTCATTCTTAGAAGATCTCAGTAATAATATTGAAATAAAGCACACATCTCTGAGGCGCGTCGTTGTACTTTCGAGGTTGTTAATAGTGGAACTAACTTGTTGCTACATAATTTCACCAGGCAGCGTTGAATTCAATCCTGTATAATGTTTTATACTGTAAGCGTCAAACATGTTGTGACGTGTCCTTTGTTCTGGCGTAGTTCCTTTGTAAGACTTTGCCGATTCAAGACCGTTTAACGGTGTTCTTTATGTGCAGTTCATCTATTTTGCATACAGACTCTCTGTCTATAAACTTCCATCCAGTGTGAACATTAAGCCAGCTGCATATCCTCAGACGCTGTCAAAAAGTAACTTCATCCCTCAACAATTAGACGCTTCTCGGTTTTATGCTGTCTACCACAGCCAAGCCTCTATACGGTAACTTATTCGTCATGCATCTCTTAAATAATTGCTAACTATCCAAGCTGAATATTTTACCATGTGTCGTTAGGTTAGGTACGCCAGTCGCCCTATCGGTATTCACCATACTTATGCCAAAGAACTTTCCTCTATATGGAGAGCCCTAAAACGAAAGCCCCGTACCGGCTCGAGTGTTTGGGCACCGCAGGCGCGCTAGGAAATGCACCAAATGTTTCCCTCGCAGCGCTCTGTGTTTAACAGCATAGATGCCTCTAGCCTTTTATCGCGTCCTACTGGTAATCTAAAGGTCCCTACATACTAAAATTTAGTAGAACACATCAAGCCATCCCTTGTTTCTCGAGCCTGCTCGCCCACTTAGAGCGCAATTAAGAAATGTAAATTTAGAAGCTGTATTTGCAATGTCGCTTTCTAAAAAATAATCCGTAGCGATATACAGTGGAATATACGGCAACATGCTATGCGACAAAATATGTGGTAGTTTACAAACAGTGATTCACCTATTTCTTTTGAGGCTTCATACCGATACTATTCTCCAAGTAATAATACGATATCTATTCGGTCATTATTACTAATGTTATTACCATTATTATATAAGTGGCTAGGCCTCAGTAAAAAACCACAGATAGTGCCTTGATCCTTCCCTCGTGTTATTTGGAACATGGGTTTCTTGAAATCCAGCTGCTTTCGAGAGGGTCGCTGTGACCAGTTAATAACACACCACAGGTGGAATTAGTGCTATATACCAAGGAGTCCGCAACAATAAGAAATGAATAAACAGGGGTAAGGAAAGTATACTGATAGTCGTTTGAATTGCGGTAAGATTGTTCTATAACATGGGTTTCGGACACAATGTGTCCTGGCGGCACAGGAATTCCCCAATTTTAGAGTGATAGCCACCGGGAGACAATGGCAAAGTGTCGGGGAGACTGCGATGGTAAATTTGACAACAAACACAACCCATGGACTGTCCATCGATTGCCAACCGGTTGGGCTGAATTACTCTGCGGAGTAAAAGGCCAGCACCACACTCCGAAGTTACTTTCTGTTGCTTAGTATAGCTTCCGTTCGCACAAGAATGGTGCCTCCTCAACGATATCGAAAGGCGGAAACAACGGTAAGGTAACAGCAGCAACTCCCCGAGGAAATCAAAGTATCTGTCACACGATTTGGTTTACGCGCACGCCCGCAATCCAAGTTCACAACTAGCAGATACTGGACTTCCTTAGGTTTTTAGGACCAAGTGTGCCTGTGTGCAAGTATAGGATAGACCGGACCTCAAAACAGTGTCAAGACAACTGTGTTGTTTCTCAGTCGCCTTCACCGAATGAGAAGAAGCTAGAAGCAAGACTAATGCGATATCAATTGAGGCGAGGACTGCATGAGCCCCCGTCTAGTACATCCAAATTTACCAAAGCAAAGGGGGTTAGGTTTGAAAAGAAGAGAGATGAGGTTTAGAGATAGGGCATTGTCTGTCTGACAAGTAACGCAGGCCTGATTGTGCGTTTTCCTTCATTGCTTGCCAGTGGACCCAAAGCATAACAGACATGATCATGTTTGAAACGTCTGTCGGTTTACGAGCATGTAGATAAAAACTTTTAGAGCAAAAGAAAGCTAGCAATTTTTTATTTGTTCAACATCAGTATTTGAAGCATAGACGTCGTGCTTCATTGAAAGAGCACAAAAAGAAAATTACTATGGTGATATGTATACGAACATTTGCGTGTTGCCTCTCATTAGGGTTTTAATGTGAATTCTAAAATAAAGTATTTGAATATTCAGTAAATATAAAATTGGCTTTGATTTCGCTCCGTTTAGTTGTCTTATGCTAATGCACATTCTTTACTTATGCCACCTATACCCAAACTGCCGACGCTTTTTCCACTATAATCCAAATATTTTTATATCAGATTATGCATACGTAACTACATAAACATCCGCACAACAACGCCATGTTTGCTTTCTACGGCATAGTAGGCACAACAGTTCTTAGTAGGACTATCGATATGTTTACCGTATGTATTTGTTGTGATTAATTTGGCCGGAGGATTGGTATATGAGCGTTTATGAGTATACATGGATACGAGGGCAGATGCCGTTCTGATTTAATGGGCCGCATCCGAGATCGAACGATAGGAGACGTTGCTGGATCGTAACGCATATTTGTCCGCTGTTCGGGGTTCGTGAGGGCTGCCAGCGAGCCTATGGACGTAGGGGGTAAAAGAAGGTGGTGGTAGGCGTAGGAGGACTATGCATTAGGTTGGTTCTACACAGTTGAAGTGCATATGCTTCAGTTGGTCGCTGGACGCGATGCACAGAAGAGTTAATCTTGTTTAGCATAACACGTCGGCATCGTGACAAGGCCGCCAAATAGGTTAGTGATGGTTGACGGCGGCCATAGTCGCACTTGGTATTAACAGACCGTTGACAGTTCGTAGACACTGTAATACGACGAGCCTAGCACGACGTGACATGCTTCCAGTATAATAGGGCTGGATGGGGCAAGCTATGATATAACCGGTAGCCAAAACAAAAAAGTAGGGAAAGCCAAATGGGGCAATGGCAATGGCAGCAGCAGCAGCAGCAGAGTGAGCTAATAATACCTGGCATTTAACAGGAGCGAAGCCACCGCATAGTCTTAACAGCTCGAAGCTGGAAGGGCGCTAAAGCGGAAATAGCAGGGATATCGGTTCAGGGAAAGGGAATGAGTGGAGGAAGTGGGTCTCAGCTAATGTTAATGAGCTTTAGCGATCCATTTGAATTTTGTGCGCTCGCGATTATCACTCGCTTATTAGGTCAACCAATTTCGCCTTTTTCGCCCAGTGTTAATTTTCACAAGTTTATCCTTCTAACAGCTTTAAACATGTGCAAAGATTTGCACAAAGGGTACAGATGCGTGCGTAGCATTGATATTTTCGCGTTCCATAGAAAGCAGCAAGATCAGAATAGTTATATATCAGGAAATATAAGTTGTTGCGTGAATACATAAAGACATAATTAGTAGAATCTATGATATGATTTGATAGATCTTAATGGTTTGCTTGTAAAGTGAAATAATGAAGTCATTATCTAGACAACGCTGCACGAGCGGTGAGAAGCGACAAAAGTAGGCTGCCATCTATAAATACGTTACAAAAAACGGTTGCGCATATTTTAAAAGAAGTATGCAAGCAGAGTGAAAATTTGAAACTATATGACCTTGTTCATTACACAACAAACATCATAATACTGATTACGCGCTATTGCCTCTATAACACAGGGTCTCCTTATCATTATTGGGTGAGTGATATGGTTTGTTTCGTATGCGCTTATTTCGTAGAGTACAACTTAACTGGCCATCGAATCTCATCGTTTTCTAAAATAGTACCATCTATGTACGAGAGTAACCTATGTGATAGTAAGTCGGATGACATAAGGTTGAGACAGCTATCTTAGGTTTCTTCCCTTCTTCTTTATACCATTCCTACTGCGCCTGGAACTGTTATGTCGCAACTTACAATGTGACGCCATCAAATGTCACTTACCGATAGATCAGCTCGACATGCTCGACTACCCGTCTGTGACTCTGCCCAGCTATACAAAAGTATATATATATATATAATACCAAACCATCATCATGTCTTCGTGCCTGCCAGAAAGGACGGACCCCATCGGCTGTCATGGTTGACCATGTGGAAGGCCACAGTGAAAGGCGAAACAAGCGAGAATGACAGGAGCCTGACAAACACATCGTGATACAAAGAACTGGAGCAAGAATTGGGAGTCGCGGGAGAGGAAAAAGCATTTTCACGACCGTAATGTTCTAATGCGGGACGACACAAGACAGACACACACATCCATGCAGGACGCCTAAGTGTAGATATCCGTGTACGGGCTCTTTTATAGCACATGGGCTATTTCTTTTTACATAAGATATCCATGAGCATATATTCTGTACATGTGTCCTCATCATAATAATCTTCTTCAAGTAATGAGAATCGTTCGGATTATAGGGTGTTGCGTTATTCTCACATTTCGTCTGCAAAATGCCCGGCTTTACATGATATCCTAAATATTTTTTTCCTTAACAACGCTGGAAGCTGCTTTGACTTATCTCCAGATTACCTTTGATTGGTGGATGATTTTCTAAATAAGAGCCTATGCATTACCCAGTGAAGGGTATATTGTGCAACATATTTTGCACGTGAGTTACAAATAAGTAAGAAACAGGATACTTTTAGTTGTCTTTTCTTTTGAACATCCCCTAGACTTGTCCGTAAAGAGCAAAAAGTCACCGAGTTCGTATTAATGTCTGTATGAAACTTTTTGGAAAAATGCCTCGATACGTAGCGTATCCTGCAAGAAACTCTAAACCGTGACAAAGCTTCTCGATTCAACTTGAAGCTTTTTCTGCTGCAAAACTCTGTTTTTATAAAACGCGCATTATTAGACTTGTCTGCCGCTAGTCGCATTTGAGCAAAATTATCATTTCACTTCGGGCTAGAACTGACGATCCCAGCCAATAGACTTTAAATCGTTCAAAATATTCTCGTAACGCCAGTAAAAGTGGCCGAAATGAAGGATGCCGATGGCAGAGTAGTTGCCATGAGGCTCGATACTGCCATATTTCAATCAGATTAATGGTTGCATCGTACGTATTTGGCTCGGTCAGATCGGTTATCAAAGAGCACAACAAATACCACCTATCTGATTTATTTAATGAAGGAAATCTTACATCTTTTTGCGAAATGGGGCATTTAGATGAAGATTTGAGCTTACTGCATTAAACATGCGTAGGTTATTTTATGAAAATGAAATACAGGTATTTCAATTTGTTGCCATTCAGCTCTATTTTTCACTTGTAGGCATAAAAATTAGCCGATCGAAAAAACTCGTTTTGTGACATAGCATGAAACGTACATACGTACATACATACTAAAGCTGCCAGTACTGCGTGCAGTTTGACTAGCCTGAGATATAATTCGAGCGGTTTATGAATCTCGGAAGGCTGCAAATCGAAAACATCACCGATGATGATTGGTTGGTGCATCCTGGGGCTGTAAATACAACCATTCCACTTAGTAGGACAAATCGCACAGGTCTTTATTTCATGAGGGCAAGCACACCCAGTGTCAACATTATTGCTTTAGGGACTGCTTTTCTAGGACAGAGTGGAGAATTCGGAGAGGTCGCAAGCGTTAATTTGCCATGAATAATGAGGTCCCATGAATAGTGAGGTGAGCTTATGGTCTAAAAAAAAGCTCTTTTGTGATGTGACCAAGTAAATGAAGCTTCATATAGGCTCCGAGCGTCACATGCAGATGGATGAGGACCGGAACTCAAATATAGTACAACCCATTGCGAACGCAATGTGGGACACCGAACCAAACCCTGTTGTACCTACAGCAGCCTTGTCGAGTGGAGAGAAGTTCCCCGGTGCAACGATTTACTGTTAAACGAGATCAGTGAGAAGAAGGACAAATGGCAGGGGAGGAACTGGCTAGATATGATCCCGTGACGTCGACCGATCCATCTTCGCATTTTCCGTTTACCCATGATTTCCTGCCTTACCCGAACAATGGCCTTTGTTAAAGACCAGCGATGCCGTTCGCAGAAGATGCGTTCATTCTGCCTTTTGTTTTTCAACGTAAGTGTACTGAAGAACATATTTAACGAGTAACTGTTGGATCGTCAATAAAGCTATTTCTTCTTATTGCTACATTTAGCGGCGTACGTCTTTCTTATTACTACGTTAGCTCTGTCATGCAGTACACAATCCACAATGAACGCATCTCATGTTTAGGGTTGATTTGCACGTAGTGGTCACCTCTCGGCAGTTCACAGTACGCTCAGTCTAAACCTATATCGCTACCTATTCACTTGGTCCTGTATGCCGTTCCAGCATGGCCAGGCCAGGAGCCGACGCGAACACAATGTGATATGCTCACCAGCAGACTACGGTATACTACAAGCTCTTCAATCGTCCCCGTAGCCGTCATCGGCTGAGTCGTCGCTCCGGACCCACCGACAACAAGTGGATATAATGCGGCGGCTGCTGCTGCTGCTGCTACTGCTAGTAGCGATCGTGGTAATAGTGTTGGCGACGGTAGTGGCGATGAGGCCTCTTCATTGTTCCCGATTACGGCTTGCTCTCCATCATAGCCAGGAGCCCCTCTGTAGTTTCGTACTTTTTCGAAGAACTGCTTCCTAGTTGTTCAGCAGTCACTCTCAGGCACCGCAGCTGTCCCTTGCAATTGCATGCCCCATACCGGACTTCCTTTTAAAGGACCGTTTGCGTATTCCCTTAGCAGCACTTCACGTGCTCACCGGCATGTGCAACACGGTGAGACTTTGGGGGCGAAGTGACGATTATTGTTGTTAGTAATAAATGAATTAATGAAGGAACAACTAGCGAATCTCCAGTGTCGTGTCGGCTGTGCTGTGAGAGCGCGAGGGGTAAATGTTCATAACGACGCAATCAATGCACTGGGGCAACTGACAGGCTATCGTGCCCCTTCTAGCCATGGCTCCCGAAAAAGTGGTATTATTGAGGAGGAAGGAGAAAGTCGGCGAAAATGTGCAATGCTGCTTATGGTGATCTCTCTTCGGCGATCCTTCTCTTGTTTTCTGTGGGATAGCAACTCCTGATGTTCTTTTCGTTGGTGCCCTGACGTGAAGCACTCACCATGTCGGTTAAAGATGGAACATTTGAAGGGCATACATAGAACACTGGTAGTATTCTAGTGTGATAAATGATCGTCGAAATAATTAATGAGTACATTCACCTATACGATGTCTAAGCGAACTAGGGGTCGCCTCAAATAAGCATCTTCCTCTATGGAAACCTCGCACACAAACGCGCAAGCACGTAAAGAGACGCTTGTATAGATGGACTAGAGCACGGAAGCATTCTGCTGTTCCCTGTGACAGTTTGCTCCCTAAACTGTCTGCACTGATTTTGGTTCTCGGTGTTCTCCCTTTTAGGAAAACTACCAGCGAACAAAGGGAAGCATGAACGGAGTCCATTTTTTGGCTCACATACAATTATTACACTTAATGGATGTTAAAGAACTGCCGTCATTTGTAAACGTGTTATATAACCACCGGGAGTGGAACGAATCCCGCTTTCAACGTGATCTCCTCTAATCGTCGTAAATGTCGTAGTTAACTCTCGCAATTACCCCAATCGGAAATTTTTAGTTTCCGCAAAAAGAAACTCTTCTACGCATCATTGTGAGTTGATCGCGTTTTGGAAAGCTTCAAAAAGTGTTAGCTTTTCTCAAACAGTCATCGGGGTGATGTTATCGAAATACCTTATAAGTTAATATAATATATTCAATTTGGTCAAGTCATCTTATAAAATTTAGATTTAATAAATTTTACACAGGTTAATCTATCAGTGTTTTTGCAGATTGAAATCAATAGATGCTGTCTATATCAGCTTTTGCCGACTGTAATGTTTATTTAGCAAGTAGTTCTTAACAGATTTGTCAAAAAAAAATGGACGATTAACATATAATTAACAGATCCAAACACATAGATTCATTAAACGAGCATTAACTGTATCTGCTTTACCAACGAGACCTAGTAAATTTCATAAAGTGCGCGGGTTGCCCGCTGTATCTGAAAGCTTGCTTAGCTATGCTTTATTCATAGAGAAGTTTGCAGTACGTGTATATGCTCTGTTATCTAAACTCAACAGTATTCGTAGTTTGTCACAAGGATAGATTTGTACATTGTGGCACCATGAACATCAGTAACAACGCGCAGTTCATGGTTTCAAACGCAAAGCACCCTGTACTAGGTAACGAACACCTATGTTAAGTAGAGGTAACGCATCAATGATCAGATAAAATTATAGGATCATATTTTAGATATTTCGATGCTAACAATAGGCATTCGCCTTTGAGTTCGTCGGAAGAGAACTATCTTTTTCTTGTATCATGGCCAATACAAGCAACCGAAGCAGTCCCAGATAGAAAGAGAATTCTAGGGAGGTCGTAGCCACCGTTGCAATGAATGACCGGCCATACAGCAGCGGGTCGCTAAGAGACGTCAGGCAACATGTCCCCTACGGCCACTTTGAGCAGTAAGACGCCACAAGTAACGAATGCATTCCCTAAAAGGTGCAGCGGCAGCTTTCACGTTGGCAGTGCAGACATACGCCGATCCCTGATCACCGAGACTCAAGTCCGTGAGGCTTTTTCTTTCGGGAGGAGCTAACCTTTCATCGTTGGCGTCCGTAGCATCACGATCAGGCAATGCAATGGCTACCAGTACAGTGACGGTGCAGTCCGGCACGGTGCACTACTGTGCGCTGGTAATATAGCAACCCACACTTCAACGATGCGGAGTAACCGTCGGTTGTAGAGACTCGCTTTCCGCGCGAGGCTGCTAACCCATCCCTGCAGCTGTTGTTGCGTTTGCTTCAGCAAGGTTTGGTAACAAAGCTCTCCAATGTGATAACACTAGCAAACTCCCTGAGCTGCCTCTTAAAGCCATCTGGTATGGTGCAGGTTAGGCTGGAACGTGCTTCCGAATCCCCTACGGGAGCCATACGGAGTGTGTGGAGGGATGACTTGCCGACCCTGATGGTGCCATGCATGTACCACTACCGTTGTTACCACCACATGGTTGCTTAGTATCACAAACAGAACCGAAACACTGGCCCGTACCGCTTGTGATGTTCCATGAAGCAGCCACGTCGAAAGGCTGAGGGTAACTGGATCTGGTAGGACGTATAGCGGCCATGTAGCGATGTATGTACACGGGAAATGAAAGGGGGCACGATGGGTATGAAGTATGAAAGGGCAGAAGGGGCACATTACGCATACATACACAGATACAGACACTGATCTGCGCCAGGATGTTCATTCCGACACATGGTTTAGCTATGACGCGTGCCAAAAAGCAAGACGCACAGAATCGAGGGAGGGAGGTAGGAACGATGCGAAAGAGTTGAGATACGACACGACAGCGCACGCTAACACGACATATGTACGTGCGTAATGCTTGCTGTATATGAACGGGCGTTGCGTGAACAGTTAGACCTCGGTTTTTGGAAACGGATGAGCTTGCATTCTTGGCGAAAAATCCGCAACATGTACAGGCACCTGCTCTTGTGGTAGCACGCACTGAGAGTAACACTTACAGTTTGCTATACGCTTCTAACTAGAAATGCTCACTGATGTTGGCTTATAGTCTTCACGTATCCAGTCGATGCTGCGCTGCTACTGACTAGCGTTACGCTAGTCCAATGCAATTTATGGCTCATAAAATATAGCGTCGTTCAAGTTTTCGCATAATGCAGGCCGATACCTACTGAAATATGGGCTATGACGGTCTACGAAAACTAATAGATTATTCGATAAAGTCTGCGAAATTAAGTGCGCGTCAAAAAAGCAAAACAAGTGATGTGAGCTGGAGTTCGCTTCCTTCTTCTGAATTTGATAGCTCTTGCAACAGTTCGGCCCACCAAATGTACATCGTTTCAAATCTCATACGTACCTATTAGTTATATTCAGACCTTATCGCGAGTGCGCCAATGATTTACAAACCCATTCCTGTCGCTGCATAATCTTGTCCTTCTTTCACCTGCCCACCTACGGTTGATCCTGAATTCTCGATATCATCTGACCGCAACCACCCCATCTATAGACTAGTCACGTGGGACGCACTGGCAACGATTAGATTGAGTGATGCAAGTGCTATATAAGATCGCCAATTTTTTACTTCATTCTAGGGAAAATCCGAGGCAGACGTCTGTACACATGAGATACTCCTTGTTACTCAAAAGAAGCATAGATATAGGTTTACGACGAGAGAGTGTAACATGTACTACTAGATTTCGAATTGAACCTAGTAATCAACTGCGAAAGCCGCAAAGCACTCAAGCAGAAACCCCAAAAACGATGCGGCCGAGCGACAGATCTGAGTGAAAGTGAACGAATGTCGGAACTTGTTCTCTCGCACAGATGTCACTGTCATTTACATACATTGTGCACGCGAAGTGCATGGTGTCTCCACTTCGAACTAGGCTTTGTATGGTCACTAGCCATATCTGTCCAACCCAGTTCTCGTACTAATTTGTTGTCCATTTCCTCGTTTGTCAAGTTATCACAGTGGGTACACCACCATAACGGGTAACTTCTCCTGTCCTGGGTAAGAGCAACACGCCACGTTTCGTTGGCAGACATTGGTTGTTATGAAGGCACGTATACACAGGACGAATGTCAATGAAGGATGACGAGGTGGTAACCGTTTCTGAAGCAGGCTTAACCCATTGGATGAAAAGCAGTTGTTATTAATATGCTACATATTTTGTCTAAACTGTGGGCAATAAAGCTTTGGCTATTGACAGTTCGAAATAGTCAAATCGCATAAAAATGTTTGTTGGACTTATACTCTAAGTAAATAAACATTGGGACGTATCGTCGACACTTTGTGGTCTAATTTCCCGTCTGCTAGCATACCCCAAGCCTTTTTTTCTCTCCTGGCAAAGTCTTGACTTAATTTCAGAACAACAATCTCACACCATGCTTCATTCAGGGCATATATCAACCGCAAAACTTCTCGTTGGGCATGCTGTAGGCTAATTTAAACTCTATGGTTATGAACGGCATTGGAAGACCAATTTGCCTATTATGTACAGACGAAAATTATTTTTCTTTATGAGAGATTTCTTTATGAGAGAAATGAATTGTTCTGTTAGTCATTACTAAAGGCTAGCTGACTGATTCCGTCAGCCAACCGCTCACTTTAGCGTAGCGGCCAAGGAAACAAGAAAGTAATTAAGTATCTTTTTCATAAATAAAATTGCTATTAGACAATGGTATATCTGCCTCGTGTAAAGTTCTGAAAGAAATAAGCCTTGTTTAACATTTGCTAGTTATATCTGCTTTAATAGCGCTAGAACCTTAGTCTTCTACAGCATTTGCTCATCTAAAAGCTAGCATTCCAAATAGAAGGTTATTGTATTCAACCGCTCGAACTGCTATCGGCGACCAAATGACTTCTAAAGAGGTAGCATTGGGTCGTATTCAGAAGCGAACGCTACTTAAGTCTAGGCCATATATCGTAATCATAGATTCGAATCGAGAAAGGACATCGGGGATGACTGACTCTCAAAATCTTGTTGGCAGTTTTACTACATACAAGGGGGTCAACTAAAATAGCTTAGAACTCTCAATTCATAGCTTCTTCTTATGCAACAAAACACAGAGCAAAAGGCTGAATTGTCAAGATGCTTTTGTTAGTTGCTTAGCCTAGAGACGTGCCGAAAGACAAAAACTTGTCCCATAGGGCACTACTTGCCACAGCTAGAGAAAAGGGATTTGAGGCGAGCCTCATAAATTCAAATCAGCTGCAGACTTCTTTACCTTCTAGTGGATTGTATATTATGGACATTGATGACGTTCGTTTAGTTTAAATGTGCCTTCCCTCTCATCTCACCCCACCTCATCACCCGTGAACTCGACCGTGGAGGTTCTCATGAATATTAGCAGCCTCCCGTTATAAAGTTTCTCTAAATCTGCCTTTCTCTCGTACATTTCAATGTTGAGTTGATGCCAGCTATTCGACTACGTTAGTTTCTTGTATGATGAGATTCTAGGGCCTGAAACCAGAATGCTAAATGCGTCATAAGGTCACATAGCTCTAAAAAAATTTACTAGAACCTTGCCGAGACACCATATAGCGGAATCTATGATCCCCTAGCTACTCGCTTACAATGAGTGCACAAATAACAACTCAAAATGCACGTTTCAGTACGTGATAGTTCGAATTCCGCAGGGGCACAAAATACATTAGAGTAGCTAGGAAGTACAAACGCAACAGATTTTCTCGCTTCTTCAAGCATGTGTTTGTCCAAGAAGCTCATTATTTTCACGTAACGAGCGTTCTATGTATCGGTAACGTGTTCATTGTGATATCCACAAATCCACTGGAAGAGGATAACCCGTTACTGTTAGCTGGACCTGAGTTTGTCACCCTGAGAGCTCATTGCAGCTTGGTAGAAAAAAAGATATACATATATATATATATATCGCTCAACCAAGTGTACTCTGGTCGGTCGACAACTAAAGCTTCACTGTATATGCTTCAAATTCTTTTCCAGAAAGATCTCCTATGCAGACCTATTTTCTATATTGCTTGTCTTCTACCGAACGTATATAGATATAACGCTTGGGCCTAGCCTCCTGAATGGTAATTGCTCTAGGAGTAGGTTATCTTTCGCGTTTATTTTCATTTCCTGCTCTCTTTGTCCTAACTGTAGAACGTATCTACCTTCACTCTGTTGATCCTTCTCCTGACGTTTCTTTTTTTTTTTTATTCTTTGTTTGGTAGGTGTACGCCGCTGTATTCTTACC